TATTGTAGCACCTCCTTGGTTTGAAGTAGAGGGGCCAGAAAGTGGTTCTACCCCTTGACTTGGATTTGGGATCGAAGGATTATATCCTACGATCGTCCTAGTTTGAAAGTGACTTGTAAGAGGTATAGCCGGTTGACATATTTGACCCACTAACTTGTTCATTGTTTCATTCAACGTCTTTAGTTGTTTGGCCATATTGTCATAGTCAAAGTTTTAAAATTACAGATTCTGCAAAAGAAACAACTATTGATGAGGAAATTTCACAAAATGTCCATTTTTATCTAGTCATTTGCAAAAATGTCTAATTTGGAAGAATTTAGATCAAAATACCTTTATTAACAATTTATAATTCCACACTAAGATAAAAAAAATGGGCATTTTTGCAATATTGTTATTGGCCAATAAAATTTTGACATATAACCTGCCATATTTATTTTAAAAAGTATACATGTCAAATCACTATAAATGCTATATTTTTCATTGATTCAGAAATGTCGAGAACGACTTTTTTAAATATAGAGAAATGTCATGTTCAAAATGAAATGTCATTCTAGACAAATGAAACGATTTTTAAATGTCGAAAATTACATATGAAATGTTGAGAAACATTAGTTTAATGTAACTTTTCATGGAAGACACTTCTCAAAATTCGTGAAAAATTGATAAAAAAAATCAAATATCGAGAACGACATTTAAAATGTCGAGAATACCATTTTAAAATGTAACTTTTCATTAAGAGCATAATAGATAAGTTGACAGTTGACACAAAATTCAAATGGATGGACACTTTTCAACTCGTACCCTAAAAATTGAATATTCTTAAAAATGCCCCTTGATTGATTAATAATTGAACCATATAATATTTTAAACATAATACACAATTTATCAAGAAAAAAGAAGACGAAATACCTTGGTAAGCCTCATTAATGTCTTGGAATCTTGAAGTCGCACTATCTTCATCTTTTTTCTTATCCGGATGACATTTCTACCCAATGAAACCGAAAAACAAAAACTAAAAATTTAAAATATCAAATTAACAGAGAATTTGACAACTTAGCTTACAATTGCAGAGAGAGAAGTAATCATAAGAGAAATCCACGTACCAAAGCAAGACGGATATAGTTGGACCGAATAACTTCTTCTGTGTCATCATGATCAACTTCCAATATATTATAAAAATCCTAAACACCCAAATCAAAAACAAAACAAAATTAATAACAAACGAGAAAGAAGAAATCAGTGAAATTTTCAATAAATAGTAAATACAGTTCGCAAACGAAAAAGATATATAACTAAACCTTGGGCTTGGGTAAAACTGAAGAAAAATCGAAGTTCATGTCATTGTCGCCTTCCGATTCTTCTTCTTTGTGTTGGAAAAAGTGGTAAAACTCGTCCCACGTCATTAAGAAATTAGGCATTGGGAGTGTTTAAGTTAATTCTGCACCTCAAATTCAGGTGGAAATTGAAAATTCTGGGTTTTCTAGCTGAGGAATTTGGATTGGGAAGGGAAAATTGTGGGGGTGAATATTGAATTATTTTGTATTTTCTCAATATTTATACGGCTTTAAATCCAGATTCTACCTTGGGCCTGATGGTTGGGCCCTATTTTAGGTCTCATAGTTATCTTTGGGCCAAGCCTCAATCTTTATAGTGAAAATTAGTCTTTTTCTTTCTTCAAAACTTCAAATGTAGCTCACATCCATATTAGGGATGTCAACTTAGCCCGCCCCCGAATGGAGGGAAAAAACTGGTCCCGAACGGGTTGGCGGGGCCGGGACGGGGCGAGGATGCCCCATCCCGAACCCGCCTTGTGAAGAAAAAAATAAATAATAAATAATTTTATTTCTAGACAAACTACCCTTTAAAAATTCATTTTGAATTTGTATTTTATTTTCCAATAATAACATAATTTGAAATTTTCAAAATGTAAAAAAAAAAAAAATAAAAAAATAAAAAAATAAAAAAAATTAAACAGGACAACAAATAGGGCAAAAAGTTGCCCCGACTCTGCCCTGTTTAAGGTGGGGCGGGATTTTGGCCAAACGGGACGGGGTGGGGGGGGTGCCCCGCTCCGAATCCGCCCCCGTTGCCATCACTAATCCATATGATTAACCAATTTGACACTTATGGCATTATCACATATAGCTTGCATCGACTTTGCATAAAGATGAACCCTTGACCTGGCCTCCTCATTAGGTGAACCTCGCACGGGTTAAATGGAAGTGTCGAACCTGATTAGATTAGTAGATTTGGCAAGCAAACTTTGATACTTCAAGGAGATTTTACTTGGAATAAAAGAATATATTGATTCATGAAACATTTAATTATTGAATCACTTCACATTGATATGTTCTAGGTGAAGCTATTTGCCACGAGCTCTTAGTTTTCGCATTATGGCAATCTTGGTAGTCGGAGCATGGATCAACGAATTTATTTCATAAGGAAACAACTGTACTAATCGCTAAATATCTTGTCTAGAATCAAATATCAGGATAATCATCAATTAGAAAATTTTGTTTTTAAATAAACATATTATTGAATCACGAATTGGACCACAGCCATTAACTATGCACTCAAAAAAATATTCCCACGATATCTCTATCTAAATTTTAAAGGTAGGAAAATTTCTAGTTGAGGACGTCCATCCTACCATGCTACGTGACAATTCTAATATTCAGATGATAGAATAAAAGATGAGAAGGTTAAGAGTTTTACTTTTACTCAATTCCATCATCAACGGACTCTTCAAGTAAAAACACGGAAAATACGCCTTGTTACATTTTGTTTGAGATATTTTGACATATTCTTACTAAGAAAGTTACATTTGGTACGTATTAAGGTTCGCTTCGTCTACCCATTACTCATCCCTCTGCAAACTTGACACCAACTAGCCATGTTACCTGTACTTCTTTGCTATGGACATTGAATTAATTAAGAGTAAATCTCTGTTTAACGCGTGAATTATGATAAAATAATGATAAATGGAATCATGATCTGATGCTTGTGCATGTGTTCCAAGTGTATATCTATGAAGCAACCTGGAACTGTGTGTGTGTACGTACCTTACAATATTCGAAACATGGGATTCAGGGAAGTTTTTTTCTAGTCCTTGTCTCCCCACTTAATGTTCTGCAATCTCAAGGTATACCATGCCATGCACAGAATGATATGTTCAAGTTCCAGCCATTACTTTTAGGTCTCAATCTTCATTTGAGGATGGAAAAGATTAATTTGTAATTATTTATATGAGGGTTCATAGATATGATATACATTTAAAGATTCGATGCAATAAAGAGAGAGAGAGATAGATATGTAGTTTATTAACATTTAGTTCCTTTTTGTCAATATCTTATATTATTTCATTCCTAGATTAGTTTTGTTTCTTATTTCTAGCCAAATAAACGTGTATTATATATTCTATTATGTATTGAATCAAATCAATAAAAATTTACTTCATTCATATGAAATTTAACATGGTATCAAAGCTTTAGGTTTTAAAATCAATACCCTGCCTCTGCCATGGCCGAACCTGTCGTGGATGCCAACAAATCTCTCATAGATGCCTCTTCCCCATATTACCTGCACACATCCGGCCAACCAAACCAACACCTCGTTGATGCTCTTCTAAATGGAGACAATTACCCTGCCTGGCGTATATGTATTGAATCAAATCAATAAAAATTTACTTCATTCATATGAAATTTAACATGGTATCAAAGCTTTAGGTTTTAAAATCAATACCCTGCCTCTGCCATGGCCGAACCTGTCGTGGATGCCAACAAATCTCTCATAGATGCCTCTTCCCCATATTACCTGCACACATCCGGCCAACCAAACCAACACCTCGTTGATGCTCTTCTAAATGGAGACAATTACCCTGCCTGGCGTAGATCAATAACACGCACCTTGAATGCAAAAAATAAACTAGGATTTGTCCTTGGCACCATCAAACGCCCAACAACGGACACAACTGCCGCACTTCTTTGGGACCGATGTTGCGACATGATAATGTCGTGGTTACTTCATTCCATTGATCGATCTCTCACTGGAAGCCTCCTTTATTGTTAAACACCCAATGACCCATGGGCTGAACTGGAGACCAGATTTCAGCAAAGCAACAAACCGAAAATCTTTAGCCTCAAACTTGATCTTGCCAATCTTTGCCAAGAACACCAATCAATCACTAACTACTACGGAAAATTGAAAGAGCTATGGGATGAATTAGCCTCTTTACAATCAACTGTTTCGTGTACCTACGGAGCAGCCAAATCTCTATCTGAAGCCCAAGAAACCGATCGCATCTATCAATTTCTCATGGGTCTAAATGACAGCTTTCAACAGCTTCGGTCACAGATCTTGGCTATGGACCCATTACCTTCAATTGGGCGGTGTTATGCTATCTTACATCAGGAAGATACACAGCGGTTAGTTCAATTACCCTCTTCTAGATCGGAAATTTCAGCATTCCTAGCTCACCCATCGCAACAGGAGACCTCTCATTCACTCTATACTCGACCAACTAGACCTCATATATGTGAAGAATGTGGTCAATCGGGTCACACTCGTAACAAATGTTTTGAGCTCTTGGAATATCTTGAATGGTGGCCCTCCAAAACCAAACGCAGCACAAGTCGAACACCTCCACCGGCAATACATCAAGTCATGGCAACTCGAAATTCCTCCACCAAGAGTGTCAGCCCAAGCCTCTCCACCGAGCAGTACAACCAATTATTGGAACTCTTAAAACGTTCCTCCATAGCGTTCGTAGGTACCACAAAACAAGACCCAATTTTATCCCCAAAATTTTCTTCTAGTTCTTCACAGAATTTGCCTCCATGGGTAATAGATAGTGGGGCAACAAATCATATTACCTCTTGCCCCCTCACTAATTTAAAATCTTCTAATTGTCCCCCCCCCTTTTGTTTCTTTACCTACAGGTACACATGTTCTCA